CCAGATTAATTTGACCACTAAATCCATGGATCTAGTATTCTATGAAGCAACTGGGAAACACTGCTCTAAATCTTTCATAAAGAATACCAGATACTAAATACTTAATTTCATATAAGTATAGTAAAATATGAGAGCAGAAATCAGTTGAAAAATTGAATACAGTTGGTTACTATCAAAACAAAAATTTTAAAAGTCCAACTCCTATAAATCTGAACAAATTAAAAATTCAAAAAGCCACAAATAACAGGCAATTATTTTAAAAGGGAGGGGAAATTACAATGAATCTGGAAAAAAAAATCAAGATCAAAGATGGTTTGTACAACGTCAAACATAACTCAAAACATGTAGAAAATCTGAACACATCAATAACTCTAGAAGAAACTGAAAAAGAATTATCAATGCCCTCAAACCCCCATTTAAAGAAAAGGAGATAATAATATAGGGTCTCAATAGATTTACTGGTGAATGCTCTCAAACTTTTCAAGAACTTGATAACTCCTCAATAAGTCCAAAGGATTTTAGCATTATCTACTGGCTAGATAGATACACAGTAGGCACTCAAGAAATATAGTAAACAAATTTAAAAATGGGCAAAGGACCTAAACACTTCTCAAAAGCGGACATATAGAAGGCCAAGAGGCATATGAAAAAATGCTCAAAATCACTAATCATCTGAGAGATGCAAATCAAAACAACCATGAGGCACCACTTCACACCTGTAAGAATGGTTATTATCAACAGATCAACAAACAACATGTGCTGGGGAGGATGCGGAGAAAAAGGAACACTCTTGCACTGCTGGTGGGAATGCAGACTGGTGCAGCCTCTGTGGAAAACAGTATGGAGTTTCCTAAAAAAATTAAAATTGAAACTTCCATTTGACCCAGTAATCCCACTTCTAGGAATATATCCCAAGAAATCAGAAACACCAACCAATGAGAAAGAACATATGCACTCCTATGTTCATAGCAGTGCAATTTACAATAGCTAAGATTTGCTAACAGCCTAAGTGCCCATCAGCAGATGAGTGGATTAAAAAATGGTGATACATCTACACAATGGAATACTACACAACTGTAAAAAAGAAAAAACTCTTACCATTTACAACAGCATGGATGGACCTGGAGAGCATTATGCTAAGCGAAATAAGCCAGCCAGACAAAGGTAAGTATCACACGATCTCACTCATTTGTAGATTATAATGAACATAAACTGATGAACAAAAATAGATCCTGAGACATAGAAGCATCGAACAGACGGTCCAATTTCAGAGGGATGGCAGGGGAGGGTTCGCGGGAGGGGAAGGTAGGAGGGTAAGAGATCAACCAAAGAACTTGTATGCATATAAGCATCACCAATGGATACAGACAATGGCGGGGGGGGGGGGGGGGGAGTAAAGGCTGGGACTGGAGAGTGGGGGCAGGCTGGGAGAGGACAATGGGGAGAAAAGAGACATATGTAATACTTTCAACAATAAAGAATTTTTTTAAAAAAGAAATAGAGCCCTAACTGGTTTGGCTCAGTGGATAGGGCATTAGCCTGCAGACTGAAAGGTCCCAGGTTTGATTCTGGTCAAGGGCATGTACCTTGGTTGCAGGCACATCCCCAGCAGGAGGTGTGCAAGAGGCAGCTGATCAATGTTTCTCTCTCATCAATGTTTCTAACTCTCTATCCCTCTCCCTTCCTCTCTATAAAAAAATCAATAAAATGTATTTTAAAAAAATAGAGTAAACATATTTTTGAGAAATATGTTCAAAACACTGTTGAAAACAACTTTATTCCAGAAAAGAAAGTAAAAGTCCATCATTTCCATGATACCAGTAGCAATCAGTAACTCATGCCCTGAAGTATTAAATAAACTACTAAGATTCTTCCTACTCTACCTACCCTACATGAGGAGAAAAGATGCAACAATATATAACAGAAAGGAGACAAAAAGTTACCAGGGACCACTGAAAAGAAAAGTGAGTGAAACTAACCCAATTTCTATCATACCTTCTTACACCAGAGCATCCTATATGACTAACTGAAAGGCCACTTTCTGAACATGATGAAAGACCAAAGCATTAGCTATTAATGTAACAAAATAAACTCTGCTGTGCAAGTGAACTCTGCAGGTAACACAAATGAGACAAACAACTTATAGGGAACTAGAAGTTTGTTACCTTATGTCTGACATGGTTAATGCCCACAAATGCAGGCACAGCCTAGTGGTACCATTCAGGCATTATGGACCATGCTATCCAAAAGTGTTCATGTGAATATCAACAATGAAATAAAACAAAAGCATTCTACATTCAAGGCAAACTTATAGAAACCTAAAAGTGCCTGATTAATGAGTTCCAGAGCACAAGAAAATACTTCACATTGCTAATTCATTGTAATCAGCATTTCACTAAATCCTCAAATCTAAAAATGAAAAGAGGTTTTAAAAATACTTTAAATAGCCCTGGCCAGTTTGTCTCAGTAGGTAGATTGTCGGCCAGAGAACTGAAGGGTCTCGGGTTTGGTTCTGGTCAAGGGCACGTAGCTCATTTCCAGACTCAATCTCTGGCTTTGGTTGGGGTGCATGAGGGAGGCAACCAATTGATGTGTCTTTCTCACATTGATGTTTCTCTCTGAGTCTCTCCCCCTCCCTTCCACTCTCTCTAAAAATCAATGGGAAAATATCCTTGGGTGAGGATTAACAACAAAAAGAAAATACTTTAAATAAAAAGATCATTCCTATTAAATATTTAAATAGGAATAAATGAATGAGTTTTTGAAATTCTAAAAAGTGAGTCAAGAATAAAGGTAATGAAGGAAAATGAAAAATATACTATTTTTAGATTACATAATAGCCTATCTAGAAAACCTAAAATATCTGGCACAACATATACTAAGTGGAACATAACTCTGAGATCACCATTATCAGATTTCTTTTCAGAAATAGTCCTCTATAGGAGACAAGTATGCTAGATCACAACTTATTCTTTTTTAAAAATGTTTTTATTGATTTTTTAGAGAGAGAGGAAAAGAGAGGGAGAGAGAGATAGAAACATCAATGATGAGAGAGAAACATCAACCAGCTGCCTCCTGCACACCCCACGAAGGGGATCAAGCCTGCAACCCAGACATGTGCCCTGACTGGGAATTGAACGGGGGCCAGGTTCATCTTATTAATAAAGGTAATCTGAAAAAAGAGCTGGATCTGAATTGAAAATAGGGAAGTATAAGGCCAAGAAAGGTAAGTTACTTGAAGTCACAGAACTAACAAAGGCCAGAAGGATGATCTGAATCCTTGTGTAATTCCAAAACCTGTCTCATTCCACTTGTCACAAGGCACCTTTACTTTAACTGATATTTTCTGAACACCCATTATGCATCAAGTGCAGGAGTACAAAAATGAGTAATATACTTATGTTTTAAAAATACCTAAGTTAGCTCTAGCTGGTTTGACTCAGTGGACAGAGCACTGTGGCGTGGAGGGTCCCAGGTTTGATTCCATCAAGGGCACATGCCCAGGTTGTGGGCTCCATCCCCAGTAGGAGGCGGGCAGGAAGCAGCCAATCAATTATTCTCTCTCATCATTGATGTTTCTATCTCTCTCTCTCTCCCTCTCCCTTCCTCTCTGAAACCAATAAAAATATATTTTAAAAAAATAAAGATAGCCCAGCCGGGTGTAGCTCGGCGGTTGAGCGTCGACCCAGGAACCGAGAGGTCACTGGTTCGATTCCCGGTCAGGGCATACGCCCAGGTTGCGGGCTTGATCCCCAGTGAGGGGCGTGCAGGAGGCAGCCGATAAGTGATTCTCTCTCATCATTGATGTTTCTATCTCTCTTTCCCTCTCCCTTCCTCTCTGAAATCAATAAGAATATATTTTTTAAAAAAAAATAAAAATAACTAAGTTAAAAGAATTGCCCAATTATTTGTTTTAAAATCTAGGTCTCCTAATTCCAACTTCAATGATCCCTCCACCACATAATCATCATATATCTAAAAACCACATATTACTCTTTCTATGTGTAATAAACACCATTTAATGCTGGAGCTAATTCCAAAATTGTTAATGTAGAAAGTTGTTATTCTAAAAGTACCCAAAAGAGGGACAATCCACACAAACAACTTCTTGGTGTGCTTTTCAGGCATATTCGGTCCTGAATACACACACAAAAGGTGAGTGATAATTGGAAAAGGGGGAAAAGAGGAAGAGCTGAGTTCTAAGTCAATTTCCAAAGCAAACTCTTTCAGTTTGGGTATAGCACATTATCAAATACATCACTGCAAGCTTTCTACTTATATTTCAATGTAATCATTTAGAAAATGAATATTTAAGTGACTTAAGATAGTCATTCTCAGAAATCTTCTAAGAAAATTTCAGGTAATTTAACATCTGTACAACTTAGAGAAATGTGGGCTTAAAAATAATACAGTTCAGTGGATTTATGTTGGAATGAACATCCATAATCATTAACGAATCTGCAAAAGGCTCTGTATCTGATCTTACCCTGTTCAACAGTCCTATCACGGACAAGATGAAGACCCAGAAATTATACTGAAACACCAGAAAAAACCTTCAGAAAATCACCAATTTCTCTTTCATCTCTCCTGTTCAGCAAAGTAGAACCCGCAGCTGGCTATCTGTCATATTGAGACAAGGGAGAAGTATAAAAAGCAAGCAGGGCTTTCCAAAACAACTAGAGGAAAAACTCCCATGAAAATGCCCTAAGCATATGGACCAAAGCAGGAAGTAACCCATCAGGACAGGAACTAGGGAGCAGAGTAAAACAGAATGACTCCCATCACCTACCAACCAATCTATGAATGATACACATGCAGATATTCTGATCACTTTAGAAGAAATTAATACCCAGGGATATTTGAACTTTAAAATCATTCTTGAGATAAAGTAATTCCAGTATAAACAGAAAAGTGATTTTCTCATAACATTGGTACCTCTAAGTAAAATTATGATCAAAACATTTTAAGATAAGGATTCTTTATAAATAAAAACAACTTACCACAATCCATTCAGCAATGTTTTCATAGAGCTCTGGACTAAAAATTGCTTTTTTAAGCCTAGCTAAAGGACCATCAGCATCTACTAATCTGCACCGCATGAAAACATCACAGTAGCCTCTAAAATCATTGCAAGGGGATCCAGGTTGCAGGGTGATGGTTCGACCCATGAAATGCTTGCTCCATTGCACAGACCCTGTACTGGCACAAGTTGATAGGTCCACTGGAAAAGAAGTACGAAATATAAGTTGAAGATCAGATTTTCTAGGGGACTAGCTGGGGAGAAAGGGAGGAGGAAGAAACTGCCTAAAATCATTATCATGACATGTTACAAAGACTTTCATTAGTGAGGCTAAATAACACTACTGGGAATTCACCTTAAATGTTACAATATAAGTAAACAACCAGCAACTCTTTACTTAGTGGCTACAATAGCTTTAAAATCTAACAGTGTTTATATTAATTGCCATAAAGCTGGCCGGTTTTTGTCTAGTTTACCATTTTAAAAACACTGTAGGGACCTAATACTAAAACACAATGCTATGCTACATCTAAAGTTTTTCTTTCTCAAGAGGATCAGGTTAGCTGAAATTATCTATGCAAAGTATATGTCAGAGTTTAACACTTAAAATAGAAGAGAAAATAAGATTCTCAAAACAAATTTTATACTCTAGTATTTTTAAAAGCCTTACTCTTCTTCATACAGCAGACATGGCATAATTCCTTATCATCTTTGCTATCAGAACTGGCACAGGTACACTCCTCCAAGCCATATTTCTCACAGATAGAGCCTGCACATTGCTGAAAGGAAAATAGAAAATCAATTATTTAATCCCTAAATAGTCAAGCCTATTGTGCACAGTAATAGACAGGCAGATATAAGCCTCCAATGGTAAAATAATTAAGGAGAAACATAAGCTGGGGGGGAAAGCATAAATTAGTATCAGAAACGGATAATATAAACATATTTGAAAAAGAATAAGTGCAAATAAGATAGGAAATCTTTTAAAGAAATAGCAACTTAAAATATCAAAATCTTTACAAAGCAAAAATAGAAAAAGAGAGTAAACATCAATTTTATGTTAGTTATTATGGCTGCTTTATAAGAAGAGAAAAATGAAATTTTCCTCATATAGAAGAAAGTAACCATTTAGTCAAGAAAGCTTCAAAGGCTTTATATTCTTTTATTTAGGCTCCTAAAAAGATATTAATTTATAAAACTTAAAAGCAGTACAAAGTTACATGACTAGTTGTACAACTATTTTTCTCTAGAGAATACCAAACACACACAGTGGAAAGGTAAAAGGCAAGTCAGTAACTAATAGGATGCCATCAACCATATAATACATTTTGGCTTTGTGGGGAAATAGATACTGAAACAGGAACTGAGATTAATTACTTTAACTATGCAGCTTTAAGTGTCAACAACTATTTTGATAAAGCAGGTTTTATAAAACTAAATTAAAAATATATACATCAAATGCTTACCCCATTAATGCATACTTGTGTGTGCCTATTACAGTCTGTAAAGTTTGGTTTAGGGTCAGATGCTGGGCAGAGAGCTGTAATGCCATTACATATTCCTTCTTTTGCACAGTCTGAATCATCCCGACACTTTTCAGTTTTTGACTTGAATATACACTGTGCTGTACAACAGGGACCTTGGCTTGGACTAAAAGAAACATTACATGATTAAAGAAAATTGCTAGGATATTTCTTATATATATATATATATAGATATGGTCCTAATTTTTAAAATATAAATCTTATCTTTTAAATAGTATGTTATTGATATACAACTTCAAATATTGAAATAAAAGGCTACTAAATTTCAACATTCTAATAAGCATAGAAAAGTGATTGTCTCATTTTTATAAGCAAGGCATTCTTATTCTATTTGTCATTAGTGAAAGGCTATAATAGAAAATGGATTTAGTATTAGGCAAGTTACCAGTGTCCTTCATAATTACATCATACATTAGTCAATTTATCAATTTCCTCACATTTATATGCTAAAATCAAAGTAGGAAAAACAAACCAGTATTGCACAAACAATATTCTATTGCTTGTGTCAATTACTACCAAAGTAATATAACAAGTGAAATAATTATATGATACTAAGTTATAAGAGTGCATGAAATCCACCAGCTGATATGGCTCATTGGTTGAGCATCAACCGATGAACCAGGAGGTCAGGGTTCGATTCCCATTCAGGGCACATGCCCAGATTGCAGACTTGATCCCCAGTAGAGGGCATGCAGGGGACAGCTGATCAATGATTCTCTCTCATCATTGATGTTTCTATCTCTCTCTCTCCTTCTCCCTTTCTTCTGAAATCAATAAAAATATATTTTTTAAAAAGAGTATATGGAATCCATATTACTTAAATATTTAAAATTAAGATCCTAAAAATATGGATGATAATATTTTTAAAGTTAAGAACTAAATAAAATGCATTACTGAGCATCTTTTGCATGTCCCTTTTTTAACACCCACCACACAAATTACAATTACATGTAGTTCAATTTGCCAACAACAGTGCACTAACCAATGCTATGGAATAGGAAAAAAAAAATATATATATATATGTGTGTGTGTGTGTGTGTGTGTGTGTGTGAGAAAAAACACAAATGAAGCAAAACAACAACAAATAAAGATGAAGTTTCAAAAGCATATGCATCTCTTAATTTGTTTTAAATCTGCCATAACTGCCTTCAGCTGACTTTATAGGAACATAAACATGACTGGAATTAGCAAGGCACCTGCACTGTTTCCCAGGTCTTAGCTTGCATTTTTTCCCCTCTTGCTGGTTTGCATCATAGCAGCACTCATCTTTACACTGGTCACTATAGCCACAATCACATTCTTCACCTTGCTCTACCATTCCATTTCCACAAATAGGTTGGCCAGACTCTGAGGAAAATAAACAAGACAAAGTAAACATTCTATGCACACATTAATTTGATTTAAAATTCACAAACTCTTTGGAGACAGGAAAACTTTGACAGGAAAGGTAGAAGAACCTAGAAATGTGGAAATTAAGAGACCTATTACTAACACTGGTTCAGTCATTAACTAGCAAGGTGGTCTGGGCAATTTGCTTCCCCTTTTTTGGGCCTTTGTGTCTTCATCTATATAGTGAGGGGATGTGACCTGATGATCTCTTCTAAGGTCCCTTCTAGAAGTGGTAACATTCTATTTAGGCCATGCCATACGGAGTTTTACTGAACAGTGACAGCACTATTTATATTACACAGATACAAATTAAGTTAGTGATTTATCAACCAGAAACAAGTTCAACTTTTTTTGTTAGACAGAAAATTTCAAAACTACACAGAAGCAGTAACAGAATAAGTACAATGAACTCCTATGTACCAATCACTCAGCTTTAATAACTATCAATAAACAACTCCACCTAGCATACTCATTTGTTCTTCTAAATAAGGCGTGGGGAACCTTTTTTCTGCCAAGGGCCCTTTGGATATTTATGTCATTCGCGGGCCATACAAAATTATCAACTTAAAAATTAGCCTGCTATATTTGGCTAACTCACCCCTAATGCCTTGGCAGGGTCAGACCAAATGATTTTGCAGGCCTTAAACATCCCTGAGGCCAAACATTCCCCACCCCTATTGTAAATACTCCAGGATGAATCTAAGACATAAGATTTTTCTTTTAAAAATCTAACTATAATACCATTATCATATCTGACAAAGTTAGCCATATGCTTAATAGCATCTAATTGCCAATCCATGTTCAGTTTTACTCAACTATCTTTTTATAACTGGTTTATCTGAACCAAGTTCTACAAAAGGCTCCCCAACACCCTCTCCTGATGATTGCTTTTGGTTGACATGTGTCTTCAGTTCTTTTAATATATAGCAGATTTACTCTTTTTTTTTTTTTAACATGCTTTATTCATTAAAGAAATTGGTCATTTTGTTCTGTGGAATTTCCCACATTCTATTTGCTGGTTGTATATTAGTCTATAAGTAATCATTTTTTAATTTACTTTAGTTTTGCTTCTCAACTAGACCAAGCTCCTTAAGGGAAGAACCATGTATTATTTATATCTTTTGTATTTCCACAGGGCCTATTAGTATTGGGTCAAATACCTTGGTTCATTAAGGTCATACTGCCTAGCCTAAGCACAGTGAATAATTTTGGAAAAAATTTTAGGATCTCTTTTCAAGTTATTTGATTTTGTCAATGAGGTTAAAATTAGAACAAGGATGCTACTCTTTGTAAGATCACAAAATTACAGAACTTCAGCACCTACAGGGAAATGATAAGAATCAAATGTCTTCATTTTACAGAAAAGGAAACTAACTTTCAGACAGTTTGTGACTTTCAGGAATCCATATACCCCAGTATGGGCAAAAGACTAAACCTAGGTCTATATCTAAAAATCTGGTGCTCTTTTCTTTCTACACCAAATCAATGTGGAAAACAGTTGTAGTACAGGCTTCAAATGGAGAAATCAATAATTACAAGGGAACACATCTAAAATGCAGGAACTCAACACGAGAAATATCTAGAAAGTCTAGGTTTATATTCATAAAGTTCATTCCTATCTTTAACCACATCAAATATTAAAGGAAATGTTAGCAATAATTAGATCTCTATCCCTCTTTCATTTCATACCATCTCTTTTGTTTTATAAAAGTAGATGCATGCACATGCTTATACTAGTATATACTACGTAAACAATAATGGTTTTTCTAAAGTCTAGTAATAATCAGTTTGTAATTCATGTGACATGTAATTAAAAAGAAAGGAAAAGTGGTAAAGTCAGGAAACCTATGATACAACATTCACTGCATTAATTTACATTTCACATAGAAATATTACTTCAATCAGCTACTTGCTAACTAACAGCTTACACACAGAAAAGATGCTATTTAAGTGCAAAAATTATACTAGGTACATATTTCATTATAAGAAACAAATTTCCTTCCCTTAACACTTGCAAAGCAATATGCTCATTTTTAAAACTCAAATTCAACCAGAAAGTTTATTGTGAAAACCCAGTTGAAAAATCAAGAATGTATGTAGCACTTCTACATTAAAAGCTTTAGAAAAGCTACATTGATAATAAAAACAAAAATGATAACATCAGTATAATTTTAATCTACACTTTTAAAAGAAAAAGATGGATTTAAATGAGAAAACCAATCAGTAAAAGTAAATATTGATCATCTGGACCTTATCAAAATTTAATTTTTGGTCTGGAAAATATTCTGTGAAAAAAGATTAAAAAAAAACAAGCTATAGACTGGGAGAAAATATTCGCAGATCAGTATCTGATGAATGACAACCATCTAGACCAGGGGTGGGCAAACTTTTTGACTCGAGGGCCACAATGGGTTCTTAAACTGGGCTGGAGGGCCGGAACAAAAGCATGGATGGAGTGTTTGTGTGAACTAATATAAATTCAAAGTAAACATCATTACATAAAAGGGTACGGTCTTTTTTTTTTTTTTAGTTTTATTCATTTCAAACGGGCCGGATCCGGCCCGCGGGCCGTAGTTTGCCCACGGCTGATCTAGACTGTATAAAGCATTCTCAAAACTCAATAGAAAAATAATACAATTAGAAATGACCAAGAAATATGGACATTCACCAAATATACACATGGAAAGATGTCCAACATCATTCATTAGTCATCAGAAAAATAAAAATTAAAACCACAATGAGGTATCACTATATATCTATTAGAATGGATAAAATAAAACTATTAAAAATACCAAAAAACTAGCAAGGATGCAAAAAAATTAGATCACTTATACACTGCTGGTGGGAATATAAAATAGTAAAACCACTTCCCTAGCCAGGTATCTCACAAGCTCATGTTGGTTAGAGCATTGACCCGATAACCCAAAGTTGTAGGTTCAATACCCAGTGAGGGCACATACAAGAATCAACCAATGAATGCATAAATAAATCTACTTATATAAAAACCATGGGTGGTGTTCATCACATCCAGAACCACCATGACCAAGCAGAAGGAAGTCAGTCCTGCAGGAGTTGTCTTGGCAACGGCTGTGCCCTCCCCCAAGCTGTTTCCCCGGAGCTGTTTCCTGTAAGGGCAGGGTTTGAGGCAGGAACCCGCCCTGGGAGCGTGGAGGCATATCTTTCTAAAGTGTGCCGGGCCAGCACGGCCAGGGGTGAACCTGAGTGGGGCGGCTGAAAGGCTTAGAAAAGACAGACAAGAGAATGAAAGCCGGGTCTCAGTGGGACGCTGCTTCTCTGAGAGACAGCAACCACACCCACAGCCATGCCTTTATTTTATAGCAGATGCTACGAGTCAAAGTAAGGGCGTGACCAAGATGTTTACAACATTCTCCTGGGTTTCAATCCTACTCAACTACATGCACCTCAACTCTATCAAGCCTACATCACTCAGGCACGTGGGACCATAAGTTCAAGCTTACAGCTACAGCTGTTGGCTATAATTATGCTGGGAGGGCCTTGTCCTCCAAGCTGGGACTTGCACGTGGCAATGAGAGGACTGTGCCCTCTCATCAGTCCAAGGCTTGAACCTGTCCAACACACTGTAGCGGCTCCCCACAATAAAATTTTAATTCTGTTTCTTTGTTACTAATGTTGTGGCCCCACCCCATAACAAAGAAACAAATTCCAGAGGATGAGGCCCAGGAATCAGGATTTTAAAAAAGATTCCCAGGTGATTCTAATGTGCAGCCAAGGTTGAGAACCACTGCTATAGATAATATTAAAAATATATCTAAACGTGCAATTCTTTGTCCAAAAAATGAGCATATTCAAAAATTAAATGAAAAAATTTGGATATACTCGATGGAGATTTTCACACATATCTGAGTGATGATTCCATTGCTTCCACAGATGATGCTGAAAAGGAAAATTTTCCCATCGAATTTCTTAATAGTATTACTACTCCTTCGGGAATGCCGTGTCATAAATTAAAATTGAAAGTGGGTGCAATCATCATGCTATTGAGAAATCTCAATAGTAAATGGGGTCTTTGTAATGGTACCAGATTTATTATCAAAAGATTACGACCTAACATTATCGAATCTGAAGTATTAACAGGATCTGCAGAGGGAGAGGCTGTTCTGATTCCAAGAATTAATTTGTCCCCAGATGACACTGGCCTCCCACTTAAATTGATTCGACAACAGTTTCCTGTGATGCCAGCATTTGTGATGACTATTAATAAATCACAAGGACAAACTCTAGACAAAGTAGGCATATTCCTACCTGAACCCGTTTTTGCACATGGTCGGTTACATGTTGCTTTCTCTCGAGTTTGAAGAGCATGTGATGTTACAGCTAAAGTTCTAAGTACTTCATCACAAGAAAAATTAGTCAAGCACTCTGAAAGTGTTTTCACTCTTAATGTGGTGTACAGGAAGATATTAGAATAAGTTTAATCACTTTATCAGACATTGTTTGCATCACTGTTGTTTTTATATCATGTTTTTGTTGTTTTCATATCATGTTTTTGTCGTTTTTATATCATGCCTCTGTTGTTGTTATATCCTTTTGTTAGTTTATTTATTAATAAATTTATATATTATTTTTATTACATTTTACTAATTTCCTTTCAACTCTCACACTTTTATTATAGAGAAAGGGCAAATAGCAATATTAAAATATCTCTGCTAATTAATTCCCTTTTTAAAAAAATATATTTTATTGATTTTTTACACAGAGAAAGGGAGAGGGATAGAGAGTTAGAAATATCGATGAGAGAGAAACATCGATTAGCTGCCTCCTGCACACTCCCCACTGGGGATGTGCCCGCAACCAAGGTACATGCCCTTGACCAGAATCGAACCCGGGACCCTTGAGTCTGCAGGCCGATGCTCTATCCACTGAGCCAAACCGGTTAGGGCAATTAATTCCCTTTTAATGTGCACGAATTTTGTGCA